GTGGTGAGTTTATTTATTTATTTATCTAGATTGTTTGATCTCACTTAGGAGTATATTATTGACGTGATTATGTATATACTTGTGTTTGATTGACAGTGGTGCAAACTGGAAGGAAAAGCAGTCCTGCCTGCCGGCGGATCAAGCTAGGTGTCTTGCTATTTTCAGCATGTTGATATGTTTCATTCATTCAATGTTTGTGTTTCCCACTCGTCTGCAATGGAAAGAAATGCCTGTCTCCGTCTCCAAATAATCAAACTTCTAGAGTTGTACGTCTTAAGTCAAACTTTCTTAAATTTAACTAAATTTATCGAAAAGGTAAAAAATATTTATGGCACCAAATAAGTAGACTATGAAAATATATTTCATAGCATATCTAATTATGTTAATTTAGTGTCGTATAAATATTGGTGCACTTTTGTATAAATTCAATTAAACTCAAAGATATTTGACTTTAAGCAAATTTAAAAATTGGTTTATTGGGGAAAGGAGGGAATAGGAACCAAGCCGCTCCCCTACAGCCAAAATCGATCGGTTAGGACAGTTATTGGTTCTAACGAAGAGAGATGCAAATGGAATTTTCATATGGCGCAACATCCATGTGGAATTTTGACAAGAGAACTTGATATAGTGGCTAGGTGGAAAGGCTTAGGTCTAGTGTGCGATGGTACTATTTCTTTTTATAACAAAAAAGTACGTTATAATAAATTTCTTCTCCGTTGCTAAAAAGCAGTAAAGTCATCATCTACTCGATGATACCAACTCTCAATCCCTGCTCACGTGTCTACGTCCAGGTCTGATAAGAATCATCCTCCACTCAAAGCTCATGCATCCACGTCCTACCCGGTTCTGATACGAAAACTAGATCCACGTATCCACGTCTAATATGAAATCCTGAGAACTACACATCCGTGTCTGATTATTGAGGTTCAGTCAAAAAAATGCGGCCCCAGTCCAAAGCATGGGCATATATTAGTGATAAGATGATATAACTACCATATCTAACCCCTTAATCGTTTGTGATACGATGAACGTCATTGCCGCCTGGTAAGGAAGAGACCCAAATCGGACAGGGTGCATCAGGTACTTGGAAAGCAAGATATTGATTAGATAGCCTTGACAACCAAGTTGATCCAATAAGATCTGATAGATTGTCCTTGTAAGAAACTAGAAAACTGTTGATATATATCATTCAACATTTCATCTGTAACCCTACCCCCGGACTGTATAAGGAGAGGTAGGGGTAAGTCATTCATATATTAGACATTCATAGTTAGGAACACTAGGCACATTCATCAGTGCCCCTATAAATCACCGAGCATACTGTCTAAGTGATTTATTCTCCACTGGACATAGGGTACCCTCTTTGATGTACAGTACATTCCGTTGTACCTCACCGACTTAGCCCATGTCTAGCTCGAGCATCTTCCTCGCACACCATTGAAGAGTTGAGCGACCTCGAAAGGCACCTCATCAACAACTTCGAGGGGGCCTACACCAAGCCTAGCACCACGTGGGACCTCACCAATGCAATTGCCAATGCGAGCGCGAGGAACAACTCCGCGACTACATCCAGCGCTTCACCTACAAGCACAATGAGCTCCCCAACATCCCGGAGAACAAGGTCATCAACACCCTTCATGAGAGGAGTCGGTGCACAAGATCGGTAGAAAGGAAGTGTCGATTGACATGCGCACTCCTCGACATCGCCATCAGGTATGCCAACGGTGAACCATGAGGTGTTTCCTAATTCTCGGAAGATTGATCGCCCATCCATTCCCCTAATCCCCATGGAGTTGATTGATCCAAAAATGACGCTTCTGTAATGTTGGGGTGAGAGAAAACACAAATGGTAATGCTACCATCAAGATGTCCGGAAGGCCAGACGCCTCACTCCACTCAATGCCGCATGCGCCGCTCATGTCAAAAAACACGCGTCACCTAATAAAATCAACTCCCGCATGCCTAGCTCCGCTCCGCTCCCACCCTTACCCATTCCTCGCTCCGCACCCCTGCCGTAGCGCACCAACGCCCATCGTCCTTCCCCACCGGGAGCCCCAATGCCCGCAGATCCAGAGGCCCTCTCCCCCACCCCGGCGAGATCCATGGAGCAGGAGCGAGATCCATGGAGGTGGCGCGACGGTGTTGCAAGGGAGTGGGTGACTCTCCTCCACCCCGGTGCGGCGCCCTCCCCCACCCCCGGCGGTGCCCTCTCTCACCATGGCGACTGAGCTCCTCCCACCCCGGCGGCCATGGCACTCCTCGCCCCCCATCTCCCACCGTCGCCGTCAAGCCAAGCCTAGTACTGGTGGCGCTGGTGGCGGTGGTGCTCGTGCGTCACCGCTTGTCGCCGGCTCTGACCCTGATGGCTAGAATCGACCGGCCCAGGCTTCCCCTCTTCTATGTTGCAAATGTATGTTTTAAGGTGTTTCAATCGTTTCAAAGGTATGTTGTAGTTGTTTCTTATGGATGTTGCAAAAGTAGATCGCGGGATGTTGCACATGTTGCTTATGATGCAAGTATTTTAGAAGCATGTTGCAAACTTTTGTTCAAAATATTTCATCTATTTCCAGACGTATGTTGCAATCGTTCTTTATCTGGATGTTGCATATGTTTTCACACATATGTTGCAACAGTATGTTCCAAATGTTTCAGCTGTTTCTGTCTTTTGTTGCAGTAAATGTTGTTTCATGTTGCAGTTGTTTTATCTGGATGTTGCATATGTTTCATACATGTTGTAAGTGTGTGTCCAAAATGTTTCATCTGTTTCAAATGTATGTTACATTTGAGTATTTCATGTTGTAAGTGCAGACCGCTGACGTTGTTGTCCATGAGGGTGGGTAGGGCCAAGCCGCGGGCACCGACGTGTGGAGGAGGCGTAGGCCGCCGCTGGCGGTGTGGGGAGGAGGCACAGGCGTGCGGTGCTGTTGTGGAAGAGGCGGGGGCGAGTCTTCCGGGCGGCTTGTAAGAGACGAGCACCGCGCCGGCATGGAAAAGGTGGGGGCGAGTCATTCGAGCAGCGTGAGCAGTGGATCTGAAGCGGGCGGATCGGACATGAGCATTGGAAATAGAGCTGGCGCGGGTGGCGCGCAAATCCGAGCAGACAGGGCGGAGCAGCCGCAGGCATCCGGACGGTGCTAGTGCTAACTATAGGGATCCTGAATCTTGAATAGCAGAACAACAAAATGGTTCACCACTCTTGCACAAATGTGAGCAGCTGGCGTGATTGCTGTGTCGGGTGACAACAAATTGTGTTCTTCCCACTCATTGGGGGACCCAGCACCAGGGCCAGTAGGGCCATGGCCCTAGTCGTGGCCCAAATAAACAAGGAGCAACTCTTCAATTTTTTTGGCCCATCAGCCCAACAAAGAGTCAGCCCAGCTGGGAATAAGGCAGCTCGTTCACCCAACTCACACCACCTCGTTCGCGAGTCGCATCTCATCCTCGTCCGTCACTCCGTTTGGAGTCGCACCGTCGCCCGCCTCGCCACCAAGGGTGTCGCCGTCGCACGTCGCTCCCTGCCTCCCTTCGGCCCTTCGCTCCGCATCTGCGCTTCGCCCCTCGCCGGCACCGTGGCTCGCCCTTTCCGTTCCGCCCTTAGCGGCTCCGGCCTACGCGGCTGTCGGCTGCGCCCTCGGTGGCTCGGCCGATCGCCGGCTGCCCGCCCGCCACCCAACGCGGCAGCGCCCTAGCCCCCAGCCCCTGCGGTGGCCGTTCCAGCCCCCTTGAAGACATGAGCTGACAACTGAGGATCAGAGCAGCTGCAACCCTGGTTTGCATTGTTTTCCAATTTCAATTTTCAATCCTTCTTAGTTTGTAGTGGTTGGATTCCAGTTATATTCTAAAATTACAGTATACAATATGAAGGACTAGGACTTTAGTATCGTATTTCTCTCGAGTTCCTGGCTTTCAGAGTTTGGCCGCTAAAATTTGGCCTTAGTCTTTTACAAATCGTGGGTCTGCCACTGTTCCCACTGGAACTACTCGATACAAAGTTTTGTTTGACAGATCGATAGATAGAATATCATAAGCCACGCACCACTCAATATAAAAAGAGCAACATGGTACTTACGCAGAATACTTAATCAGAAATCATACATGGTAACAGGCATTGAAGCTTTATAAATCAGCCGCCTTATTGCAATAATGAAAAGGCTTGCCAACTGCCATCATATCCATAGGTAGATTCTCCGTTGTACAACAAGAGGAGACGTTTAATTTGTTGGAGCTTCTAGTCATACTTGCCCTGGACATGGTACTTGCACATCTTTTTCTGGGCGCAGTTGATGAGAATTTCAGCAGAGTCGATACCTGTCAACATATATACAATGAAAATTCACGCCGTAAGTTTCAAATTAAGCTTATATCACTAGCCAGAAGTCTTGGCAAGCTCAAGGGTAGGCAATTGAAGACCTCATGTGAATACATATATCTACCTGAAAGATAAGCGCCATGGACATAGCCATTGTAGTGCTCGCTGGTATGCTCACCGGTGAAGTATACCCTTCCAACCGGTGCCTAGAATGCAGAAAAAAAAGAGAGAGGTTCAAATTCAAAGGATGAGGCCTTCAAAAATAGGAGCATAATAGCAACATATATAGAAACACAAAATTGAAGATCCATATGGTAGTACCCTAAGCTGGTCGTATTCGTAGCGGTTGACACCAATTGGCCAATTGGAGAAGGTGCCCTTGTAGAACCTGTCAGACCACCATCTCGGGACATGGATGTCGGTGCCATCCGGGACGTCCTTGCCGGGGAACATCTTCCTCAGCACTTGCATGATCTCTGCCTTGGTCTGGTTGTCCGACTGCTGCTCAATACGCCTCGACTCCTCGTCGGTCACGGTGACAAGGAGGACGTTGGCACCAGGATACTGCTTCTCAAACTCCTGAGTAGATCATATATTGTTGCAAAATGTTCAGTATTCGTTCAAAATTTGATTTAATTCTGCCCATAAAAAAACTATATGCTAACAATAACATCATTGATGCTTTCTGTACCTGCCACACTCCATAGTAACCTCTCCTGCTGCTCGCGTAGAGGAAGAACTCTCTCCCTTTCCCTTCAGGCCAGAACTTCTTGGGGAACTTAAGGAAGATCTTGGTGTACACGGCCATGTCGAATTGGTAGATCGCCGTAACCTTCCATGCCTGGGACAGACAAGGGAAATTGCTGAGGAAATATATATGCAAGGTAGAAGGTACCCTTATATATATACATATATGGATGGGAATATATAGTTGAGGTAGGAACTACTGACAGGTAGCTGCGGCTTGAACTGAATGAGAGCGGATTGCAGGACACCCAGGCTTGCAGAAACCATAACATAGTCTGCCCTTTTCACCGAGTTGTCCTCCGTCTTCACGGTGACGCCACCCGGGGAATAGCTGATCTCTCGCACCACCTATTTATTATGTATATATACATGCATGTGATTTGTTGTATTATCTACGACCTTATACGTCGCAGCATCAGAGAAGAAAAATGCAAGCATGTATACCTTGTTGAGCTGCAGCCGCGGGTCGACGATCTTTCCAGACCTGTCGGTCTTGAGGAACTGGCCGGCGAGGTAGTACACGACCACCACTGTAGACGCCCTCTTTGCCGAGTGCTGGGGGCACTCGGCAAAGCCAGCCAAGCACTCGGCAAATGCTTTGCCGAGTGCCGCACTCAACAAAGGTCTCTTGGCAAAGATTTTATCGACAAAAATTTCTTTACCGAGTGCCAAAAATCGACACTCGGCAAAATCTTTGCCGAGTGCCAAGCCCGCACTCGGCAAAAAAATAACTGCTGTCAACATTTGACGCCGGTTTTGCCGAGTGCCTAGGGACTGGCACTCGGCAAAATTTGAATTTTTGCCGAGAGCCAGGGCTCAGCACTCGGCAAAGAAACCATTTTTTTTAAAAAAAAATCTTTTTAAAAATAGTCTTTGCCGAGTGGTACCACCTGGCACTCGGCAAAATTGACCTCTTTGCCGAGTGCCAGGCTATGACACTCGGCAAAACTGGGGAAGTGGCTGTTTTTGCAGCATTTTTTCCCAGCTTTGCCGAGTGCCACACCCCTGGCACTCGGCAAAGACTTCTTTGCCCAGTGTTGGCACTCGGCAAAGCTGGGAAATTTGCTATTTTTTTTTTGTTTGTTGCTTTCCTTCGAAAGCAAACACGCAAAACCCATATATAATACATGAGACAGCACACAGGCATTTAGCATCACACAAAACGCATACATAATTCATCACATACATCCATAATACATCACAAGCACATCCAACATCCATCAAAAGCACATCCTCCTGCATAATCCATCACACGTACATCCAATGTGCAAATCCATGACAACATCTAAGAAGTCTTCATCCAACACAAATCCTAGATCAAGAAAAGTCAATGAAACATGAAGGGGCACCACCTACTGCCACTGATCCCAATGGGAGCATGAAGGGGCACCTCCGTGCGGTGGTGGACCTGTCCAGCCGGGGTGTGTGCGCTGAGGCGAAGGAGTCGGGTTCGAACCCGATGACTGTTGATGCACAAAGAAGAATTGAATTTATTAGTATCTACACAAGCTAAAGGACTTGATCAACCATATATATATACTCACCGGAGTGCCTAGAGCCAGAGGAGTAGGAGGCACAACTGGAGCGAGCAGCGACTGGGGCACCACCACACCCGGGAGAGTGGTGCTGAGGCTCGACATGAATGAGAACATGTCCTGCATCCTCTGTGCCTCGGCCGCCCTCTGGGCCCTCAGGACCTCCCACTCGGCCCTCTCGGCCTCCCTCTGGGCCCTCTCCCTCTCCCTCTCGGCCTCCATCCTCTCCACAGTGGCCTGCAATATTCAATCACCAACGTTTAAATAATGCAAATGCAAGGTACATGTGTAAAAGTAATGAACGACGAATGAAATAGAACTAACCTGGAGTGCCGCCATCTGCTGCAGTGTGCTCGCCTGTCGAGGTCGAATGGGGACGGAGGAGCTTGTGCTCTGTGCTTGGATCTGGGCGAGGTTGGGCACAGAGGTCGAGTCGACCATGTTGGAGGCCATCCAGTACTGGCCGTGCTGCTTCCCTCCTCCGAGCCTCATCACGAGGTCGGTATCAAGGGGCTGGGTGGCGGGGTCAAAGTCCTCCTCATGCCGCTCACGGGCCGCCGAGGCGTAGTCGGTGAGCTTGCTGTGGACGCTCGTGTTGCTGTACGCCTCGGCCCCGTCCTGCAGTGGCGAGGCGACACGGTGCAGGTAGAACAGCAACGCCGACGAAGACGATCGGGGTCGCCGAGTGCCTCCCAACGGTCCTCGTCCTGCAAAGAAAAAGCAAATGGTTAGACTCCATTAAAAATTTCGGCAGCACCTTCCCTGCACGGAGAGGTTCCCAAAACCTACAGAAAACATTGGCACGAAGGCCAACAACCACATGTATACGAAACATAGGCACGAAGGCCATCAACCACATACATACAACAATAACTACTACTAACACTAAAACTATGAACAACAACTACAACTACTACTGTCACTACGACTTACTAACTAATACTAACACTACTAATTAACTACTACTACTAACACTACTACTTACTAACTAATACTAACATTAGGGCATACCTTGCCAGCGAGAATGCGAAGACCGAGGGCCGGCGACGACAACGGGGACGACCGCTACGGAGTGAGGGTCGACGAACCGAGGCGGCACCTTTCTTCTCCTCTCTTCTCCTCTTCTCCTCTTCTCCCCTTCTTCTCTCCTCCCCTCCTCCTCTCTTCTCCCCTGCCTCCTTCTCCTCCCTTCTCCTTCCTCTCCACCTCCTCCTCCCTTCTCTTTCTTCTTCTTCCACCTCCCCTTCTTCTCCTTCCTCCTTTCATTCCTCCTCTTCCTCCTACCTCCTCCTCCTTCCTACTACTACTGGGGCGAGGAGGCGGCATGGGCGCGTGGGCGTGAGTCATGGGCGGGGCCAGGGGGAGTGGGCGGTGGGCGGCTGGCTCCGGCGGTGGTGGGCACAAGCTGTGGTGGTGGTGTGTGGCGTGTGTGTGTGTGTGTGTGTGTGTGTGTGTGTGTGTGTGTGCGTGTTTTTTTTATATTTCAAATCTCTTATGGAGTGCCGATCCGGGGCACTCGGCAAAAGAAAGTATTTTGCCGAAAGTGCCCCGATCCGCACTCGGCAAAATAAAAATTAAAAAAAAATCCTGTCACAGCTTTGCCGAAAGTGCCTAGGGTTAGCACTTTCGGCAAAATATTCACTTTGCCGAGTGCCAAACCTTGGCACTCGGCTAAAAAATATTTTTTTTTTTTTGCCACCAACTTTTTTCTTAGATTTGTATTTGTACCATGAACAACATGTTCAAATTTGGCACAATTTCATTGCTGTTTGCTATATTTCTTCACTTTATTTCGTTTTCTTGCAATTTTCCGGAAAATGTAGGTTTGAACTGCAGGTGCATCGAATAATAGTTTTGATCCATTCCAAAAATATTATTCTTGTTTGTTAGTGTCACTTTATGCTAAATCTAGGAACTGTCTCCAAATTTCGATCAACGTGCTCACGGGGCAACGTCGCGAACTTGCGTGCGAGTGGTTATTTAATTCTATAAAATTCAAACGAATCCCGAAAATCATGAAACTTGGCGAGATATCGTGATATCACATGCATATGCGGTGGTAAAAATTTGAAAATGTTTGGAGAACGTCATCACGTATGGTGTTCACAAACCAGGACATCATCACATTTTACTTGGCGAGATGTCGTGATATCACATGCATATGCGGTGGTAAAAATTTAAAAACGTTTGAAGGACGTCATCACGTATGGTGTTCACAAACCAGGACGGTTTGTGAACACCATACGTGATGACGTCCTCCAAACGTTTTCAAATTTTTACCACCACATATGCATGTGATATCACGACATCTCACCAAGTTTCATGATTTTCGGGATTCGTTTGAATTTTATAGAATTAAATAACCACTCGCACGCAAGTTCGCGACGTTGCCCCGTGAGCACGTTGATCGAAATTTGGAGACAGTTCCTAGATTTAGCATAAAGTGACACTAACAAACAAGAATAACATTTTTGGAATGGATCAAAACTATTATTCGATGCACCTGCAGTTCAAACCTACATTTTCCGAAAAATTGCAAGAAAACGAAATAAAGTGAAGAAATATAGCAAACAGCAATGAAATTGTGCCAAATTTGAACATGTTGTTCATGGTACAAATACAAATCTAAGAAAAAAAGTTGGTGGCAAAAAACAAAAAAAAATTATTTTGCCGAGTGCCAAGGTTTGGCACTCGACAAAGTGAATATTTTGCCGAGTGCTAACCCTAGGCACTCGGCAAAGCCAATATTTTGCCGAGTGCCAGACAGAAGGCACTCGGCAAAGAGGACGACGTTGGGTACCGTTATCCCCGGGCGCCTCTTTGCCGAGTGCCAGACACTCGGCAAACCCCTATTTGCCGAGTGCCAAGTTTCGCCGAGTGCGGCACTCGGCAAAGGTGGCATTTGCCGAGTGCCCGATATTTGGCACTCGGCAAAGATTTGAGCACTGGGCAAAGCCCCGGTTTCCTGTAGCGGACTGCCTCGTAGCCCCGCTGGTCGGCGACGAAGTAGACGTCGTCGCCGAAGTGGCTGAAGGTCGAGAGAGGGACGACGTTCTGCAGGCTGGTCACCCGCGGCGGCTCCGCGAACTCGTAGTCGAACTTGTAGTAGTCTACCACCATGTCCACCGGCGTCGCCGGCCCGTTCGGCTGGCTGCCCATTGCATGCATTAGTTAGTTTGCAGTTTTACAGTCCCTTTTTTTTCAAATTACAGACCACTCCTATTCAGCAACACCTCTAGCTCAGAAATTATTCCATCGGTATATAATATATAGGACGTACTGATCGTTGAGGCGCTGCATTGCAAGGATAGACATGTCGTCCCTGCCACTGGCGTGCAAAGTGCCAGAGAGTTTCTCCCCGAGCTCTTCCACACCATCCGCTCGGTCAATTCTCTTCTGAACATAATCTTCATCGTAGAGGCCACCGCTGCAGTTTATATATACAGCAAAATGCACACATGAATAAATACAATAACATGTTGTCAAGTATAATATATGTAGTAACTCCCAAATTGCTCGGAATTGAAAAACAGACGGGTAAGATTGGTGCACGGAAGTCAAGCACAAGCTCCACCTCCATCTCGAAGCCAGGCGAACAGCGCGCAAGCTCTTGCCGGTAGTTTGAGGATGAAACCATTTACAATGATCTAGCCAACATTTTTCATATTAATTAGCCTTTCTTAGATCTTATTTCCATGCTCCTTTTTTTTAAAAAAAATATGAAGCACGTTTTTTCTACATCCAATGTTTCAAACCAAGCTATGATATATGGCTAACTTATCCTATAGTACTACCTCAAGGAAGAAATATTTGATACTTTGCCTATGATCTACAGTCAGCGTAAAAAAGATTTATTTTACGGTCAAAAAGTACTTGATGCTTTGCCTATAAAAAAGATTACCGAAGACAACCCAATTTATTTTCAGAGACGTTCATGTGCATCTTCACCTCCTAAAATACCCTTGACATTTTCAGAGGTAGATGCCTAAACAAGCCACCTCTCGAAATGAAGGTGGAGCGTCTTCAAGAGCCATCGGATCTAGGCGTCTTCATCGCCGTGGCGGCCACGGGGATCCATGGAGTGGGGATCCAACAGTCTAGCTATTGAGAGTCGACCGTGGCCAAAGTGCAGTTTTATTAAATTATCCATGAAATATGTTTTGATTGAGCATCTGTTTAGATTTTATGTATATTTTCTAAAGGTTTCGTTGAAGTTAAAAAATGTTGACTTATAACAAATCAAGGTGAACTATAGTTTTAACGGATGGAACGGAGTAGCTAGCAGAGCTCATCAGCTCTCTATAGTCGACGTACTCCTCCTTGTAGACGTTCTGGGCGAGGTAATCAAAGTCGGAGCGGAAGTTCCGGAGCTTGAGCGTGGAGTTGACGATGGGCCAGATGGGGCTCATCTTGCCGCCGTTCACGCCCTCCACCCAGTTGGCGCCAACCTCGACGTTGATGCCGGCGAAGTTCTTCTTGTGCATCCGGCCGCCGATGTGGTCCGTCGCTTCCAGGATCAGCAGGTCGGTTATCCCGGCGTCCGACAGCCTCTTCGCCGCCGAGATCCCTGAAAAAGTATCCACATATATAACAAAATACCTCATCAACATCGTCGTCAGGGCAGACGTGTTGTTTGATATGTATGACATATATATGTTTACCGGACATGCCGGCGCCGACGACGATGACCCTGGGTCCGACGGTTGCGGCGAGGGAGCCATGCTGGGCTAAGGTCAGTGCTAGGAGTACCGCTGCTGCTAGCACGAGAGCACTAGACGTGGAGGAACCCATCTCTCTCTAACTGATGTCGCTCTCTAATCTATACAGCAGTCTGAAGTGAATGCATTGCCCGGCCCTATCGACGCACTTCGCACTATGCAGACACAGTCACACACGTATATGTAGCGTGATATATACTAGTGTGTTTGTGCGTGTGTATACACATAACATGTGATATAATGCATGCTGGTCCATCTCCATACCAGTTTGTTTTATATACTGTGAAAATGCCGTTGGATCTTGTTACTTCTTTTACACGTTCCCGTCTATAAGTTTTGGATTCTATAATTTCAAAAGCACTACTAGAAAACAGACCTTTCACCCACTTCGATTTTAGCCTTTAGTCTCGATATTTTTTGCGTTCGGGACTAAAGGACTTTTAGTCCCGGTTCGTAATACCAACTGGGATTAAAAGTCATCTTTAGTCCCGGTTGATGTCACCAACCCGGAGTAAAAGTTCACCAACTTTTAGTTCCGGTTGGTAACACCAACCGGGACTAAAGGGTGACCTTTTAGTCCCGGTTGGTGTCTTTAACCGGGACTAAAGGTCTTTTACCCGGGACTAAAGGTCTCCCACGAGTCTATTCAAAAGGAGAGCGCACATGACTTTGTCACAAGTGGTGTGCAGTTGAGTTGGTAATGTACCTACGCACGAGGAGAGAGGTGTTGGGTTCAGGTGTTGGGTTCGAATCTCACGTAGAGCAAGCGAGGCCTCGAGGATTTCCTTTATTTTTTTCTTCCGTGGGTGACCTTTAGTCCCAGTTCCCAGACCCCGGAAATTTAGTCCCGGTTGGGAAAACCGGGACTAAAGGCCTTCCCAACCGGGACTAAAACCTCTTAATGCAAAGTTGGTGAACTATTAGCTTGCATTAAGAACTTGAGATTATATATATAGAATCCAAAACTTGTATGAGTGAACTAAAGAATCCAGAGCTTCACTACTAGAGAAACGGGTTTTAGTCATGTGCCCGTCACACACATATATATATATATATATATATATATATATATATATATATAATTCAAATTCGAATCTGACCGTCACAAATATACATATATACATCCACAAACACAAGACCATGTTGAAAACTTTAGAAGGCGCAAGTATTAGCTTCCATGTTGAAAAACATGACAAGAGTAAATAATTTATCAAAAACTATTGTGACAGTTCTATCATTCTCTCAGAAATATAGAATTTTATCTCAGATTTTCTACAATCTTTCAGGAAGCTGTTGATATCAGTGCAACCACAAACTTTAATCTTAACTCATGCTAATTTAGTGCACAACGAGAAATGACAGATGAAGCACACTGGAGCTATCACTAGACCAAGATACTCACAGGAGTGAAGAACTTGGATGCACTTAGAGGTATACAGCCAGGTAATCCACCAATCTGAAAGAATACAGAAAAAATGAAAGAATCAGCTGATGCACTTAGATGACACTACCATAAGTTACATGTGCTATAAAATTAATTTTCTCAGGAATCAGGTGTAAAGCTTCCATGTTGCACAAACTCTGAACCCAACAAAAACAGTACCATACCACATATATAGAAGCTGGAAATATCCCAAGTTTTATTTTTAGTTCCCAGACTTTGTGTATATAGCATAAAACATATATTGAAACCAATTACTAAAAGAAATTCAAGTTTGGATGTTGCAAGTTGTGACAAAGTGGTACAGATACATGTGGAGATAGCATATCGAACAAAATGTATGCATAGATAATTAGATATCAATTTCCAAGGTAAAGCTTGGTACAAGTACATTTAAGTTAGAATCTTACATTATACAAGTCAATTACCAGTTCATCAGGGTTTGGCGAAAATGCACTGTTGATATAGACAAACTGTTGGCAACACAGACCACAACTCAGTAAAATTCCAGTGTCATAGATAAAATTCTCATAGAACCAATGTTTTCTGATCAGCTTATCGTTCCTAATCGGTCTGGTACCGATTAGGACGATCATGACGATTAATCGACCTCTGATCAGTCTAATCGTCCATATAATCGTCTAGCATATAGCAGGACTATATAAGTATATATCATATACTATATATTTATATAGTAGACATCGAGCATATTTCTGGAGGCAGTGCTGCTATAGCCTTTTCTACAAGGGCTGAAACATCTGGAGCCGCTGAGGATGCTGAACCATCACCACCTGATGCAACTGATGAGCTTGCACCAGCACCTCCTTCAGGATTAGGCCTAGGCATGATGACTTCCACTGCAAGCTGCCGCCTTCGATTTTCATCTACGCAAGTTCAGCAAAGAGCCAAAGAAACAAAGCATCAAGATTTGAGCATAGTGCAGAGGAAAGGAGATGACATAAATGACAGAACAAAACCGATTTAATGACACCTTCAGAGGAGGAGCTCATCTTCGTGCTCCTTGGACCTGCAGCCTGTAGGTGGGGAAGAGAATAGGCAACCCTGCAACAGAAGGGAGGAGGAAGCAGCAAGCAGCAGGGAAGATCCACGGATGGGCTGCTTGGATTGGAACTGGAAGGGAGGGAGGAGGGAGTGAGATGCACGCAGCAGGGAAGAGATGGAGCTCAGCTGCACACACAGCGGGAGTGAGGAGTACTGAGGATTGAGGAGAGAAAGAGTCGGGGTGTGGTATATAAGAGAAACCCTAATGGGCTTGGCCCAAATAAATATAGCCCAGTAAACTGAAGTAGCCCATCTGCCTATTTAGTGCTGATCGGCAAAGAGACCTAATCGGACGATTAATCGCGAGTAATCGACGATTAATCGGACGATCAGGTTTCTAATCGCTCTAATCGAATCGGAGGGCCTAATCAAGCGCTAAGTACCGATAAGGACGATTAATCGTGATTAATCGGACGATCAAAAAACATTGCATAGAATTGACAATTATATTCCTACCAGTGTATCTTGATGAAGTTGTCGGCGAAGAAACTCTATGACCTTCAAAAACTTATCTCGTCCTGAAATCTGGTACGAGATACACAAATAACAACTTAATCAGGTTCAAGGTACGAAAACAAAGGAGAACGTCACTTAAGCCAATTTCAGGGACAGACTGCAGTAACAAGCTGATGATGACAGGATTTAACAAAATCAACCACTTGAACTAAATCCTTGTGCCAAGGTTTACTTAGTGACACACTGACATGAGGCAAAGATCATGTCTAAAGGACTAACCAGAGAAAGATTACAGCGACTTTTTCACAAAAGAGAAATAAACACTACCAATAAGAAGCATTTAAGCAACTACATGGAACTCACTCTCTCTTAGTACTACACGACACAACATATATGGATCTAGCTGCGAGGGACAGTGCCATGGACGACACCCACCATATGCTCGATCAAATGACTACAAGGTTTGGCTCTCTTTAGCGGACAGTTATACTTTGCATATGAAGGGCTTCTTTAACTGATAGAAAACTTTGGTCTTTGATTCATTAGAATCTACTAAACCATACCTGTCACAGTGAAGAAGATAAGAATCTTTTGTAAACGAAGACATGATTTTTAGAGGCCTCAGAAACATAGCAATCATCATTTGTTCATCAACTTGGAGCGTCAAGGCATGGTGTTAACTGATGGCCAAAAAAAGGCATGGTGCTAATTGGTTTACCCTCAGAAACTGTATGATATCAGTAACATAACACTCATGCCCAGTACCTCACAAGCGAGCGAACATCAGATCATATCATTGAGCAATGCACATGTAATTTTCATCACAGGCTCAAGAAGGAAACAATAGCAAGGCGAGAGGGACGGCTGCTTGTATTGGAAGCTGTGTTGCTGAGGTGGACCAATCAGATAAGACGAAGATGATGCGGTGCTGGCATGGACCAATCGCAGTTCTAGGGGCAACGTGTACCAACTCGCTACCCAGGGGAGGCCTTCCCGAATAGAGGGCTCAGAAACATAGCAATGATCATCATTTGTTCATCAACTTAGAGCCTCAAGGCATGGTGATAACTGGTTGACCCTCAGAAATTGCATCATATAAGTAACACCCATGCCGAGTATCTCACAAGCGAACGAACATCAGATCATATCATTGAGCAATGCATATGGAATTTTCATCACAGGCTCAAGAAGGGAAAAAATAGCAAACGGCAGACGCTAAGATCATATGATCATAACCAAATCTCGGTTTAGAATCAGAAGGTTGACCACGGTAGGGGAGCTAGGCAACATGACCCCAAAATCGCCTCTAAAATCAGAAAAGGATGTGATTTTGTGGTCATAATTTGGCCGCTAACCAGAAATCTGGAATTTGAATGGCACTTAAGCTAACATGGACTAAATTTCATAAAATTAGAATTGCATAGAACCACGGCAGAATTACCTCTGGGAACTGCATTTTAATATTTTATCATATTCTTTAGAGGTAATAATGCAGGATCTTAACTATTGTATGCAATTTCCAAGCAGGTTGTAGCTAAGAATCCCTCTCTGCACCTACCATGGGTTCTTACAAATTCCTTTACATGTTGGAAATCACCAACATATAAGAAAAAAAGAGCACTGCAGGGGATTCTATCATATTGCTATTAAACTTACATAGTCATAACCAGCATAACTACCAAGAAATGAAAGCAGCATTAGTTGACAGACAAATAATTTCGCAGACAGCATTAGTATGCACCAAAAAAAATTAACAGCCATGTAACAAAGGTTCTGAACATGCTGAATCGTATCTTAGAAGGATGCATGAATACACGCACCTCTTGTCGACTGGCCATGCTTGACAGAGTGTACCAAATCAGGAACCTGCAACAAACAAATCGAGGTACATCTAAAAAAATACAGAGGCATAAAATCGAACTACAGCCATAGGAGGACCTCAGCTAGGTGCACACGCCACAGGGAGCGAAAGGAGACGGGGGCGGGTTCGGCGTGGCAGAGAGAGAGAGAGAGGAGTCGGGGGCGGGATTCGGCGCTAGGAGCTCCCGACCTAGGGTTTCTTGTAGCATATGCACGCCCGCGGGCTAGAGGAGGATGCGGGCCAGGGGCGAGCCTTGGCTGGCGGGCAGCCACCGACAGGCCCGATCACGCTGCGCCGTGGCGGGGACAACCACCGCCGGCTGGCACGCACATGTGCCTTGGTAGAGGCCGGGGCGCGGTGAGCCGACGGCACTTGCCCGGCCGGCACGCCGTGGGGGGCGGAGGAGGAGGACGAGGCGGCCTGCCGTGCTTGTGCTGCTGGCTGGCCGCCGTGGCCGCCTGGCTGTCGGGAGAGATCGGGAGAGGAGGGAGCGGACGAGAGAGAGCGAGGAAGGGGAAGGAGAAGCAGAGGTTTGGGCAAGGGAAATCAGAAGCTGGATATTATGTTCGTTTCGCTGGATTCTGAGAAGAAGCCGTAGAAGGTAAATAAGAGCACGAAGAACTCGAAGAAGCCGGAGAGGACGACGGGAAGCTGCTCCGGACGAGAATCAGATTCAAGAGATCTGGGCCATCGATTCGAAAATCTGACGGAGGAAAAAATTTCTACCGACGTGGACAGGGCTCCTGTCGGAGGAGCATGTCCGGCTTGTCTAGGTAAATTATACTGTGATACAGCTGAGATAGCAGCTTTAGTTCGAAACTACTAAAATAATTTTGAGACACCAAATGATCTCAAATGAAAATTTGATAAACATAAAAGTTGTAGAGGTCATGAAGATCTACAACTTTTATTTTGGTCATCTTATCATTTGACAAAATTTGAACCTTTCAAATTTAAAATTTTAAAAAATGACAAGTTCGAACCAAAATTTGAGACCCAAAATGATTTCAACAAAAAAAGTGATGAATACCAAAGTTGTTCAACTCATTAATATCTACAACTTTTATTTTAGTCATCTTGTCATTTGACAAAATTTGAACATTTCAAATTTGAAATTTTGAAAAACGACAAGTTCGAACCAAAATTTGAGACCCAAATTGATTTCAACATAAAAAGTGATGAATACCAAAGTTGTTCAACTCATTAATATCTATAACTTTTATTTTAGTCATCTTGTCATTTGACAAAATTTGAACCTTTCAAATTTGAATTTTTGAAAAACGACAAGTTCGAACCAAAATTTGAGACCCAAATTGATTTCAACATAAAAAGTGATAAATACCAAAGTTGTTCAACTCATGAATATCTACAAATTTTATTTTGGTCATTTCTTCATTTGATAAATTTTTAGCATACATTGTTCACTAATCTTACACATGTCTCATATAGTTTATAAAACCATATGAGAGATGTGTCACATTTGTGAACAATGTCACTACCACTTTGTCATATGAAGAAATGACCAATACAAAAGTTGTAGATCTTGATGAGTTATTCAACTTTGGTATTTATCACTTTTTTAGCTGAAATCATTTGGGGTACCAAAATCTTGTCTGAAGTTGCATTTTTTTGAAATTCAAAATTTAAATTGCTCAAACTTTTCATATGTATATATTGACAAAACCAACAAAATAAATTGATAGAGAATGATTTTAGAAAATTTTAGAATCATCAGATTTGGAGTTAGTATGAGGAAGAAAAACTAGTTACAAATTTGACCCACAGATTAAAAAAAGAAATCACACTGTTCAGTATGATCATGTAAGGATCATCTAGAACAGTGTGATTTCTCTTTTTAATCTGTGGGTAAACTTTGTAACTAGTTGTTCTCCCTTATACTAACTCCAAATATGATGGTTTTTTTTCTTAAAAATTTCTAAAATCATGCTTCAGTATTTAAGTTTGATCAAACTTGGATGTGACAATGTTTTACACATCTTAAAATTTGAAATTTAAAATTTGTCAAGTTCAATCCAAATTTTAAAACCATAAATGGTTTCAGATGTAAAAGTGATGAATACAAAAGTTGTTCAACTCAACAATATCGACAACTTTTATTTTGGTTATCTTGTCATTTGACTAAATTTGAACCTTTCAAATTTTGAATTTTTAAAAAAGACAAATGGACACTGCAGGGGCGGCTGGTAATTGAGCCGCCCCTACAGATCAACCCCAACCCAACTGTAGGGGCGGCTCAGGTTACCAGCCGCCCCTACAGTGCCATCTGTAGAGGCGGCTGGGCTGCTGGGGCCCGAGGACGTCCACTATAGAGGCGCCCCCAACCCCAGTCACCCTTACAGTAAAAATGCCCCCGTTCCTACAGTAAAAATTTGGCGTAGTGCGGCGAGCTCCATGGATGCCATCATCAACACGGTGTCGACGAACGTCCCCTTGGCGCCGTTCATGGGCCTGCTCAAGCCCAACGGCAAGATGATCATGGTCGGCCTCCCCACCAAGGCTCTCGAGATCCCGCCCTTTGATCTCATCATGGGGAACAAGACCCTGGCGGGGAGCTGCATCGGCGGCATGAGGGACACGCAGGAGATGCTCGACGTGGCGGCCAGGCACGGCGTGATGGCGGATATAGAACTGGTGGCCGCGGACTACGTGAACACGGCCATGGAGCGCCTGGCCAAGGCTGACGTCAGGTACCGCTTCGTCATCGACATCGGCAACACCCTCAAGAATTCAGAGTGATCAGATCTCACACATCTGGCGACACTTTCAACTGCTGCTGCTTGTACCTTCTCGGCTGTATGATGTACACCGTTTTTGTCAGTGATATTATAGCAAAGACGGGCGTAAATGTAGTATGATGATCACCTTCACATGGATGTTATTGAGGGTGGATGCTTTTCTTGTTGTTGCCGTAAAACGAGATGCTACTCCTAGATGATTCAACGTAAGGTCGTTTGAAATCATAAATTTGAATACAAAAATAGTAGTAGTCGACGAAACAACTTTCAAACAGAGAAAAACTAGACCCCAGGCATTGCATTAAGAAAAAAGACCTTCTCACGCAGGTCCAGAAAACTCCAAACCTCTGCCTCACCCTTACACAGTGGCACCGTCGTCATGTGAGACCGGACCGGTCCTTAGACCTGTGCTTTGGCGTAGGACAGATGAGAGGATTTTTTTAACCCTAGCCTAAAATTTGCTCCCATGGAGAGTCGAACCCAGAACCTGAAGAGTGTCGTCGGGACGCTTTTAACCAGTTAGACTAGAGTTGGACAACTTTCAAACAGAGAACAAAATATAATAGAACCGGGGACCACAAATAACAATAGAGAGGGGCATCTTTTACTAGACGAAACTCGCACCATACACGGTGGTCTCTAATTGGGCCACGTCACCTGAAAAATCTCAGCCAATAGATCTTCATCGGACAGTTTAACCACAGCCACGTAAGCTAGCATTTCCCGAGCCTTCGTCCCGAGCGCGACGAAACGCCGCCTCCCCGTCCTCGCGCCGCTCAACCTCGCCTCCTGCGCCACCCGACCCCTACCCATCGAACCCGCGTGGCATGCCGCCCTCCCCAATCATCAGCGGCGGCCTCCCTCCCGCGCCCCTCCGCCCTGCCCTGCAACGCCTCGCTCCCTCCCACGACCCAAAGCCGCACCGCGGTCCCCTCCGCCCTGCCCCTCTCCGCCCCGCGCCCGAACGCCGCGTCGCCGCCGCCGCCACGCCCGCCCCAACACCCCCGCCGCAGCCCCGCCCTTCGCCTTCACCGCCGGCCCCATCCTCGACGAAAGCTACTGCTCACGAGCCTCTGCGCAGCCAGGACGACGATGGGGTCCTCCCATCTGAAACCCCGCGCAGCAGCAGCCCCACCACCAAGCCAAAGAGAACGGCGGCAACGGCATCCCGTCCACCTACACCTGCGTCCACCGCCACCTCCCACGCTGGACTGAAGGTTGACAACGATAGCTCACATTCAGGTGTTTGACAGAATGCCCATGAGGTAAATAGCACATCCTTGCCTCCATGTATATGCCATGAATCAATGATTGTCTGGGCTGTGTTTGAGATGTTTTTTTTGCAATATGCAGTACTGCTTCTAGCCAGTCCTCTTACATACTCACTGTGATCCATGTGCGTGTATCATGAATGGTTAATCTGTGGATGTCTGAAACAAACTGATCTTGCTGCAACTGTGGATTAATGTCTACCAATGTGTGCAGAGTGTCTTTGTTACAGTTATGATTTAGATAATTGTCTAATATAAGTTTGACATATTTTTGTTTTACTTAGAAAGCTGTACAAACTTGTTCCAAAGTTGGTTTATTAAAATTGCAGGTAACTTAGTTGATATTAGTCCTCACTCCATGAGGGTATGCTGCTCTTCATTGCTGTGGAGCAATATATGTTTGAGGGAAACTAGCCTGTGGGCCGTTCTCTGAATGGATCTAGCAATGATCATGCTACTTGCTACTCCAGAAGATGACATATTTTGGTTTTACATAGAAAGCTGTACAAACTTGTTCCAAAGTTGGTTTATTAAAATTGCAGGTAATTAAGTTGATATTAGTCCTCACTCTATCGAGCTAATCCACACCATCACTCCATGAGGGTATGCTGCTCTTCATTGTTGTGGAGCAATATATGTTTGACGGAAATGAGGACAGGTGAGACATGTTTTCTGTGATAATATTTCCTCATATCATTGACATGTTGAATGCTATTGTTTAGACTTATTCAAGTGTATTTAACTAAATTTCTTTAATTTTTTTTACACTTTTCATGCTTCTGTATAGGTGGATTAATTTGAGATGCATTCTATACAATTTGTTCTAAGATCCTGTCCAAACATGTGACAAAAAAAATCCTTCTAGAGCTGCCATTTTCCTAATTTATGACCAAAAATATGGCCTGACATATTATCTTTGAAATATCAGAATTGACTTGAAAAAGGTAAACATGCAAAGTATGTGTTACCTTACCTTAAGATAAACTTGTTAGACAAAATCATCATAGCTTGAACTTACATTCTGTGTGGCGTTAAAAACTACATATTTATAAGGGAGTGCATAAAGAAGTTCCTCTTCAAATATTTCAATTGCAAGGGTGTGCTGTTTGTTGAAATGGCTAAAGGCATCAACTCTCATTTCTTTTACTCACTTTTCTTGGAGCCCAATTTTCCATCGAGTCTTTGCCACACGATCGTCCATATTATATTTGCCACAATAGATGCTCTTTAGTATAAACAATGTCAATTTCTTTCTAAACACTAATCAAGCAAATAATTAGCTATATCTATGATTAAAGTGGGCAATTAGATATCATCCATCACCCATTGATATCTATGACTTCTGAAATGATGTCTAATGAAGCGTGGCTTCTATGGTGCTTACGAGTAGTAGATGGTAGTTAATTCAATCCAGCTTCGTATACTGTTTTTGTGGCTCTGAAAATGTAAGGCTATCAGATTTCTTGAAAATTAGATCTGCGTGGGAAAGTTACCATATAGCTGGTCTAAATTTTTTACAGGATCCAACCTTCTGTACCAAGGGTAAGGCTTGCCACAAACACCCTTCTCCAGACCCCGCACAGAGCGGGAGCTCTCTGCCCTGGTTACGCCCTTTTTATCCAACCTTCTGTACCAAGCTACCAGCTCACCCGCAAGCATTATTATTTAGCATAATTATATTCTGCAAGCACTGTATCACAACAAAATCTGGTTATTTGTGTTCTATGCCCACCAGATGATTAATTCACATGCACATCTCAAGAATATCTGAATAGAGTAAGAAAGCATATTATCAATCACATTTACTTGTGATCATCAGAAGGGCGGGCCTGGTGCAAGCGGTAGAGTTTTACCGCCTGTGACCGGAAGGTCCCGGGTTCGAGTCGCGGTCTCCTCGCATTGTACAGGCGAGGGTAAGGCTTGCCACTAACACCCTTCCCCAGACCCTGCACAGAGCGGGAGCTCTCTGCACTGGGTACGCCCTTTATTTACTTATGATCATCAAAACGCAAAGAACAGGGTCAGCTACATACCTGTTCTAGGCTCTAAAATGTAAAACATCTTTGGTAATCCACCTATTTATGAATATCTGAGCGTTCTATCAAGTTCTATTCTATTAGAAGAATTTTATTTCCTTTTGTAGGGCTCAGCTATTCCAAAAGTTAGATATGCTACATGTTTCTTCATTATATCTTTACAGCAGTCCTATATTCTCATACATCATGATGTAGTCTTTGTTTCCATGCAGGCTCTTGAAATGAAGCTCTGCCTGCAGTTATTTGGCAGTGGAAGGATGTTGTTACATTTCATAGAGAAATGCCACGCAATTTTTCCCCTTGGGCATAGTGTTCTTTCAGCTTAGTAGACTGAACCTTTTTCACTTTTTAGCATTATATAAAATACTATTCCCCATGTTGAGTTATGCTAACAATGCAAGGATAACTTAACTATTGTAGAGTTGACATACAACTATGGAGTTGCACGATTTAGTGAGAGCAATGTATATGAATCGAAACTAGGAAATCTGAATTGAATGTCATTACAGTTACCATAATTAATTTGATGATCAGGTCACATGAGAAGACTAAGGGACTGGATTGCTATGATGTGATCAGGTTCTCAATCTCAGTAATGTTCTCATGCAAGATGATGTTGTATTCTTCTCCGGTAACAACTTAGTTCAACCTCAAAATCATCATATCTCTAATCTCCTAGCTCAAGTGCTAAACCTTTTGCAGTAATAATGGTAAAAAAATGCTAAGCTGGTGAACTCCAAAGGAGGGCACGGCAAAGCCGCACCGAGTTTTCTAGTGGTTTCTTAAAGTGCGCACACGTACTGAAGAGTATAGTTTCAATTCAAGACATTGATTCACGATTGTGATAAAAATACATAGCTAGCATGACATTGACGCGTTTTACAGTAGAAGTTCTCTCATACATGAGCAACACCAAGGTTTTAAGGTTATGTTTAGAACTATTTCACCAACTCTGTTCCACCAATTGCATTATGGAATAGCTTAAAAACTTCTCGAGTACCTCTCTATGTGCACCAAAAAAAACCAGGAATTAGCTCTCAACTGCACCTTTTCTCTAGAGCATAGTTCATGGAGTACTGGAGTTGTACTTGTTTGGCTAGCGAAGTTGAAAACGAATGCTGGACAAGTTAGAGCGGAGCAGTCGAAAGCAGACCCTAGGTAGCTCCACACACTAACAGACCCTACACACTAACAGACCTAGTTAAAATGAAGGGTATCATAGTTTCATAAAAAAAAAGAAGGGTATCATTTGAATACCCATCATTTTACCAAACTAGCAGGTCGGCGAGGCCGATTTGATGATAGTTCTTTGCCTGGAAGACCCACGAATGTCTCTCGGGAAGACCCGTTAGGGAGACACACAGTGAGAGTGACTTAGGATGGACAACGCCACCTAGAGCACTGACAAATCTCGGTGAGAGACCAGATAGGAACGGGGTTGAAAGAGCTTGAGGTAGAAGAAAAGGTAAAAAATTGTAAAAAATTGGGTTTTTATCTATTGGATGGATGGATTTCTCAATCGGCCGAGATCCTCTCATATAAATAGAGGGGTGGTTTTATCCCAGTGGGAAACGTACTCCACATGCAATCTAAAACTTTACCATGAGATCCGAGGAATTTCCAACAAAAAAATCAGGATTTGGCTTCTGATCTTATTTGAAAGATTTCAGACCCTACATTAAAAGCATCGCATG